TAGAAAGCTGGGATAACAAGTCCTGTCTTAGGCAGCTGAAATGAGACTGGATAGCAAATTCCAAAGGGAGAAATATCTGGAGAGAGAGTGGGACCAGGTATTATATATGAGTGTTTGGCACGCTGGAAAGTTACCTAACTAAAATTTTAGTTATCTCCTTGGGATTAGTTTACCTAATTACACAAGAGTATACTTGTATAAAATGTGTAGGTTAATCTTCGGTGTATAGACATTTTAATATGGTAGTGTCTTAAAAATTGGATTTTATCAGGTTCATAAATAAATCTAGTTGAAAAAGTCATTTAATCTGAAGGCTTCTCTTGAAAAACAGCATTCTTCTGAATTCTTCTGCTCCCTCTCCCAAGGCAATCATTTTCACATTTTAAATCAAATGCTCTTACTGCTAGTTCTTGATTTTTTAATTTTAGTGATGACCTGTTGGCTTGCTGTTACGCATGATGAGGAATTAACTCTTTTCATATCTGTATCCCCTACCTCTTATTATGTACCTCCTCTCTGTTGTAGTTAGTTATTGTTTGCTCAATATTTAGTGTTTGACATTTAAATCATTAGCAGCTGAGTCATCTAGTGTATTGTGATTTACTTTTCTGCACAGCTTCTTGTTTCGTTTGGAATTAATAGTCTTTTTGGCTTATTTGTTGGCTTATGTGTACTTAAACTCTCTTTGTTGTGCAGATGAAACGCATTAGGATAGCAAAGTGACTTTGATTTTGTGTTTCCATTTAGTGTGCTATGTTTTTAAACCCGTTTTAACTGTTTTGATTAACATTAATGTTCTTTATAGAGATAAGGAAAAAAGTAGTGTTAAAGTACTTTGACATTAAAAAGATTTATGTTAAGTAGTTATTTAAAATCTGTGTGTAATAGAATATTTGACAAAACTTATGAAATTTGAATTATATTTGTATTTTAGCTGAAATAGGTGATTGTTTTTATATTTTTGTTATGAATGCTCAGAAAAGAAATGGAACTTCTCAGGACTTTTTTTTTTTTTTTTTTTTTGAGACAGTCTCGCTCTGCCACCCAGGCTGGAGTGCAGTTGGCGAGATCTCAGCTCACTGCAAGCTCCGCCTCCTGGATTCATGCCATTCTCCTACCTCAGCCTCCCGTGTAGCTGGGACTGTAGGCGCCCACCGCTGCGCCTGGCTAATTTTTTGTATTTTTAGTAGAGATGGGGTTTCCCCGTGTTAGCCAGGATGGTCTCGATCTCCTGACCTCGTGATCCACCCGGCTTGGCCTCCCAAAGTGCTGGGATTACAGACGTGAGCCATCACACCCAACCACTTCTCAAGATTTTTATGATCATCAAAGGATACCTTAGTGTCTGACATCATCTTAGGATATACAAGATGTTGTACATATAATTTATCTTTTTAGAAGACCTGATGAACTTCATGAGTGTTTGCCTTCTCCTGCCAAATCAGTTCCTGATAAAATGGTCCAGTAAATTTAGAAAGCTCCAAACAAACCGTGGCTATGTCTTATACATACAAGTCTTTTAAAACTTTGAATTAAAGTAACCAGCTTTTTAAATTAATTAACTTTTTAATTGACAAAAATTGTGTATATTTATCATGTATAATATGTCTTGAAATATTTATTAAAAGTAGCCAGTTTTAATGATTTTTTTCAGATTTACTTGACCAGGAGACCTTTTTATTTTTTGTTTTATTTACTGATTTTTTGAGACAGGGTCTTGCTCTGTTGCCCGAGCTAGAATGCAGTGGTGCAATCCCAGCTCACTGCAGCTTTCACTACCTGGGGTCAAGTGATCCTTCTGCCTCATAGCCCCTCAAGTAGCTGGGACCACAGGTATGCACCACCACACTTGGGTAATTTTAGTTTTAGTAGTGATTAGGTCTCACTGTGTTGCCCAGGCTGGTCTTGAACTCCTGGACTCTAGTAGTCCTGCTGCCTGGGCCTCGCAAAACGTTGGGATTGCAGGCGTGAGTCACTGCACCCAGCCCAGGAGGCCTCTTTAGTAGCATTTCTACTAATGTGCACAGGACTTGACTAAATAATGCCATTTCACTGACTGCGAGTTGTGGAGAATCTCATTTTTTTGCTGATGCCATCTTTTTCTCTCTGCTTTTATAGTGACAAAAATGCTGAGTTTCTTCCGTAGAACACTGGGGCGTCGGTCTATGCGTAAACATGCGGAAAAGGAACGACTCCGAGAAGCACAGCGCGCAGCCACACATATTCCTGCAGCTGGAGATTCTAAGTCCATCATCACGTGTCGGGTGTCCCTTCTGGATGGTACTGATGTTAGTGTGGACTTGCCAGTAAGTAGGTCTTGCCGAGCTCCAAATTCTGTTTGCGATTACTGTCTTCGTTTGTTTGTTTAAAAGCTTTGTGTTGATAACTTCTGGATCGTAATCGGTAAAGGTACTATGGGTTAATGTAGATCAGGCACTGTAACATTCGGGTACACGGATCAGATAACTGTAGACCAAAAGTACTTGGATTGATGGTATTTCTCTTTGGAATTAGTGGCAATTACCTGAAACATTTAGATGATAGAGCCGTTGTTGGCATGAGTCCGTTTTGTGTGTGTTTATGTGTGTTCTTTGTGATGGCAGCACGTAATGTAGTCTAGTGGATTTCTCACAATGCTTGTTGAACAATTATTAAAACATTGTGACTCTTTGAGAATAACAACACTTACATGTGTACTGTAAGACTTTTAGTTTTCTGTGCACTTCTGTATTTTTTAAAACTCTCCTTACTTTCTTCAAAATAAGTATTTCCCCACAATTTGGTTTACTTGCAGACATTAATTAGGTGAAGTGAGAAAAAGGACTTTCTTTATACTCCTCAGCTCTGACTGTCTTTCTCTTTGCTCCCGAAGTATTTTGCATTGTAGGTTTTTCTTACATTGTAGTCTTTATCTCAAGACAGCCTGTTGTAATTATATTTGCATTTTGGATAGGTGTTTTTTTTGTTTTTTTTGTTTTTTTGCAGAAATGCATAATCATAACTCCATGTGAAACAATCCGACATGTTTGAAAGGGGTTAGCTTATTTTTTTACAGAGCTTTTTGGGTGGAGGAGGGGAAGAAAAGGTTACCTTTTTGGTTTTGGGCAGTTGAATATTTTTCTGAGCTGCTTACTAATACCAAGTATCTTTCTCATGTCTTTGTTCTGCATTCAAAGACTTACCGTAAATTATGTCATTTGATGTGAGCTTCGTAGGATGTTCCTTGATGTCTTTCCTCCCAACAAATCTTTTAGTACACCTTCGTTTACCCAAAATTCAATTTAAAAAGTCTCTTTGGGGCCGGGCGCGGTGGCTCAAGCCTGTAATCCCAGCACTTTGGGGGGCCAAGACGGGCGGATCACGAGGTCGGGAGATCGAGACCATCCTGGCTAACACGGTGAAACCCCGTCTCTACTAAAAATACAAAAAAACCAGCCGGGTGAGGTGGCGGGCGCCTGTAGTCCCAGGTACTCGGGAGGCTGAGGCAGGAGAATGGCGTGAACTTGGGAGGCGGAGCTTGCAGTGAGCTGAGATCCGGCCACTGCACTCCAGCCTGGGCGACAGAGCGAGACTCCGTCT